GCTTCTGAGCTTTACCCCTGGGCAGATGCTACCTTTCTGCTCTCACCTGGTCGATACTTTTAAGGAGGGCAGATTTCCCTGGTGTTGACCTGATAGCCTGTTTTGGTTTGGTTACAAGTTGAGCCACGACGGAGAGTTCTGATGGGACATGACTCCAAATGAAAAGAGACACCTGCACACAACTATTAATACTTGAATCTTGGAAAGTATGAAGTAGGAATCTAGGAAAAGAAGTCATCAAAATGAAATGGAACAATGAATGTGTGAGTGAGTTGAAATGCACTGGTACTGGCTATTTTGAATCATGCAGTCACAGGTCTTCCTATGTGGGCAATGACAGATTTAAGAGGAATGGCATTGCATTGATTGTCCAAAAAGGGCATTTCAAGTTCCATCTTGAAGTATAATTCTGTCTGTGATAGTGTAATATCTGCCCACCTATAAGGAATTCCAATCAGTACAACTGTATATTCAAATTTATTCGCCAACCACTAAAGCTGGTGGTGCAGAAATTTAAGAATTCCACCAGCATCCTCAGTCTGAAATTGATCAAACCTGAGTCAAGCTGCGTTGATAATTCTTGATGATTGGAATGCAAAAGTGGAAAACAAAGAGGATGGATTAGTAGTGGAAAATATGGCCTTAGGGATAGAATGAAACTGAAGGGCATATGATTGCATTTAGTAAGATGAACAACTTCATTACAGATACTTTTTTCCAACCCACGAATGGTGGCTACATATGTGTACTATTCCAGATGGAATGCATAGATATCAAATGACTCTATCAGTGGGAAGAGCTGTTGGAGAAGCTCAATAGCAACTAAAACCAGGCCATAGGCTGACTATGAAACAGAACACCAGTTCCTCGTTTATAACATCAGGTGATGCTGAAGAAAATGAAAAGAAGTCCATGAGATCAAACATGGTACTTTGAGTCTACCCCACCTGAATGTTGAGAACATCTGACACAGATTGGATGCACTGACCACTGATGACAGAAGACCTAATGAGCAATGGGGGGACATCGAGAACACCATACATGAGGAAAGCCAAAGGTCATCAAAAAGACAAGAAGAAAGAAAACATCAGCATGGATGTCAGAAGAGACTCGGAAACTTGCTTTGTCATTGTAGAGTAGTTAAAGCAAATGGAAGAAATGATAAAGTCAAAGAAGAGAGCAGAGACTTTCAAAGGGAAGCTGGAGTAAATAGAGTAAAATATTAAAATGATATGTGCAAAAACCTAGAGTTAGAAAACCAAAAACGAGGAACACACTGCATATCTTAAACTGAGAGGACTCAAGACAAAGCTCAAGCTCTCAGTTGCAATAATAAGAGATTCTGCAGGCAAAATATTAAACAATGCAAGAAGCATCATAAAAAAGATGACAAGAATATATAGAGTCACTGTTCCAAAAATAATTAGACAACCACTTTATTTTGCATTCCAAATTCCATTTTAATTACTGAAGTTCTTCATAAAGATCAATCTTCAGAGTATATGTGTTAGTTTTTATATAGCATAAGTACGGACCATTATGTACTTAAAAAAAA